AGTATTCCTGTTTGCCTGCCAGTGGGAACTGGCCATGACCTATAGAGGAGACGTCTATTTCGTGCCCGTACTGTATCCGTTTTCGTGATTGTACTTGTTGGCATGCTATATGTTTAAATAAGGGGCACTCCATATTTACTTACTGAGTTTATCTTATAGTTTTTCCTTGTCCACCATTTCAGGAAGTGAAACCGAGGACGGGGAAACCACAGGAAGTGACGAGTTAGAAAGCTAGCCATTTCGAGATTGATATAAATTTTAGATATGAATCATGATCTTGTATTTGGAGATTTTATGATATCAGAGTAAATTTTAAAGACTTGATCTTCAGATTTTGATGGTATTAGATTGTGATATGATAAGTCCGAGCCTTGTGCATTCTTGGGACTCGTCTCACGAGTGTACGGCGTCTGTTGCGTCTCGAATTTGGGTTTTGGGGTGTGACAATATTTTTATTTAATTAAAAAAATTTAATTATTATTTATATAATATATTAAATTTTTATTTAAAATTTATATTTAAAAATTAAAAAGTAAGACTAAAATCACTAAAAATGACTAAAAAAATAGTTATTTACTTTTAAAAAGACATTATTCAATGGATGATAGATCTTCAAATTAAGTATTTTCATTGTTTACATTAAGAGAGATATTATTCAAATACATTCATTTTTTTAATCAGTGATTCAAATATATTTATATTGTCAGTGCTAATAAGAAAAAAAGAAGGACACATCAAATATCGTATATTAATGTCATTTAAAAAAACTAAAAAATGTAATATATTAAGAAAAAAGTACTTATTAGTTTCAATTCTCATAAAAAAATTAAAATTTTAAATTTAAAAACATTATTCTCTAATTAATATTTCTAAAATTTAATTGTTAAATGTAATATTTTAATGATATAGATCATACATGTTAATTTTTAAGTTGATTTAATATTTATAATTATTTAATAAAAATTTATAGTTTTTTATATATATTTAAGAATAATAAATTTTTAATAATTGATAAATTAATTATATATTTAACAATTTAAAAATTAATATACATAATTTATATAAATAAAATATTAAATTTAATTATTTCCTTTTAAATATAATCATTGAAAAGATGTTTTAGAATTAAAACTTTGATTTTTAAAAAATTAAAATTAACGTACACTATTCTCATTAATTAATAGCTTATAAATTTCTGAATTTTCATAATTGAATCACTCGTAAAATTTAAGCATTTTAATTATCTATTTTAATATTCAAGCCTCACAATTTATAAATATTGGCTGATAGTTAACATTAGTATTAATTTATGTGTATATGATATGACCTCTCCTCGTCATAAATTTCACTTACAGAAAAAAAGGGATCCACGTGAGGGTGTTTACTGTTTAATTTTGATTGTCATTAAAATTAATTATTGATTAATAAAAGCTTTAAATTTTAAATTTAAATAATTA